CGCGAGCGTAACATCTGATTCTGGGCCGTCAGGAGATGTTCCAGCATGAAGAACGTTGTTGATTCTAATAAGGCCAGAGTAGTTATAATTACCCGTCAAAATATTTAAAGGGGAAATTCAACTTTCATTAGTTGCTTCGATTTATAAGACTCGACAGTTTTCATTGTGTTCCCGCACAATCCAAGTTTTTTCCTAGAAGACAAACCACTCTGATAAAATGAGTCAAGCATTTCTGCCTGTTTCTTTTACTTCTACGTTGTGACGTTTTGTAGCAGACAACGGAAACTGCTCATCGACTGCATTCAATTCTCTGTTTTCCCCAACAGTTTTGAAAATTTTTTAGGGATAATAGAATGTGAGAAACTGAAGCAATCATGGCTTTGTTGTCTGCTGCTTTGGTGATTTGTTGCAAGTATCATCGAATCCTTTATCTTTGCACCTCCACTATATCACGTATCTTCGGCTCTCCTCCTCTTTTTACCTGGAAACATATTTCTTTTTATATATACCTATCGGTCTTAACTCAGACAAAATATTTGTGCTTGTTTATAGCATACACCACTCTGAGGCCACCGGTAACCATATCTTACCGGTATAATTTTGGTGCTACGAAAATTCTTCTTTTTTTTCGCTTCGAACGACACTCATAATGAAGTTCTGTGTAGTTTTTCGGGTCGCACATAATTTTGATTCTTTCCCTCAAAAGAAAGACTAAGAAAATGCGTTTTGTTTTAATGTTCAATTGCACACCCACACAGCAGAGACAGCGCTGCTCCCATCACCCACCGTTCGAAGTCAAAGGGGCAAGGTTGCAGCCGCAGCCCTTCCATACCGCTCTGGTAGCGCGCGGACGCTGGCGCGTCCGTTAGTTACGGAATCGGAGCAAGTTTCCTCAGAAATACTTACTTTGATTCGTATACAAATATTTAATAGAACTGAAAACCAGTTTACAAGTTACCAGCGAGAATGACCTCGGCCACCTCGTGACGAGTAACCGCACGGCGGCGAGCGTGACTGATCTGACTTGTTTTAGCATTGGGCGGCAGAGCTTAAATACGCAGGCGTACGTGATTACATCCGCGTGTGCTGGCCATGAAGGCGTCCATTACAGTCAAAAGCTAGGGCTCGTAGGTCGGGGGGGGGGGGTTGTTTTTTCATGTCCCTCGCGGGGTGGCTTCCGTTGCTGTATGTAATCCTACGTGACCGTCTGTCTTATAGCAGTAGCTTTCGTTGGGTGCCTGATCGTCAGGGTGCCTCCTTTATGGAGTCAGCGGTCATCGGAAGGGGTTGGCTCCGTACTGTATCCTACGTGACCTCTGTCTATAGTAGTGCTTTCCGTTTATGGGTGCTTCAAAGGGGTCGGCGGTCATGGAAGCGGGTGCTTGACATTGTGGCCTACGTGACCTCTGCCGCTGTAACACCGTCTGCCTACAATTAACCTACGTAAGGAACAGCGTTCAAACAGTTACGCGGGAATTTCTTCCAAAATTATGAAGAAACTTATGAGAAAAGGAGTTGTCCATGAACAACTGATATACACGTGGATGCTTGATGCTCGGTCACGCTTTATTCACAGTTCCAGTATTCACGGTTTCAATCCACAGTCCTTGACCAAGGAATAACATTTTTCATCTGAACAGGTAGAGAGGTCTATAAGGGCTTGCGCGTCTTGTAGCTCTCGCCAACAGGGTACACCAAAAAATTTCCAGGCGCCGTCTGCCTATTCGAACTATAAATAAGGCCTAGCCTCCTCTGATAATTTTCAGGGCGAGGGAAATACAAAGAAGGCGCATAAAAACGAGACAACGAAAGCCCCGCGGAGTAGAAACGCATAGAATTCCAACATTTTCATTTAAGTTTTAATGGCGGCGAATTCATTTAAAATATAAAAATTTGTGATGGCAATTCGTAAGGGAAATTTGGTAAAGGAATAGGACGCTTCCAGCGCGGTCCAGTGGACGCCACGCCCCTGGTTCAGATAGTTAAAAGCAATCGTCAGGAGCGGAAGTGATACAACAGAGAAGCTAAAGGGCAGTAATTAATGAAGGTATCATCATGTGAAAAGACCAAGACAGTAAGTCTGCAAGGGTGAGGTGTCTTACTACACTATATGGACAGCGATATCTTTCTTTAAGAGAGGTAACGTTCTTCGCCGCAAGCAACGACACGCTCATAGAACCTCAGAATTCTGCTCAACCCATTCAATAACGTGCTATTAACGATCTTTCAGAGAAACTTTATATGAAGAATGGCGAAATTTCTGCCAGAATTTGCATTCTATCAAATGCATCTATACAGAAATGAGAGAGTCCATGATCTAAGGTCTAGTAGATTCATGATATTGAAATGTTAGTTAAACCTGATTATGATTGATGTATTAAATTACTAACTTTTTTTACATCTCGTATATTTATAAGTTAGTGTCACTATGAAATTTTATAAAAGTTTCAAATATTTTTATTATTTAGGATATCTTGAAAATAAAATGATTTTCTAACCAGAAAAACATAATTCTTGCGTGCTTATTATTCTCGTTTTGTGTCAATTGTTTAATATACAATTCTTTACAAATGCAAAGTAAAAAATTAAATGATTTTTTATAATTGTTTGGCCTGTGCTTAATAAATTGTCAAGCAAATAAGACTTTCTTATATGATTCATAAACTATAAAATTATCTTCCATTTCTGAACATTTTTATTAGATACTTTCCAAAACTTAACGTCACATGAATTGGTTCCAAAACTGAACACACTCATCAACATAGACAATTTTATTTATTTTACCGCATTAATACATGGACGTGGCTTTCAGCCCTTGCCTCTCGTAATCACATACAATGTCGCTCTTCTTAAAGTAATTTTTTCGAGAATGTAACTCTCTTGATATATTCAGAAATGGTTTTTTTGCTTTTGCGTGAAATACATACTGATGGAGTATGTTTCAGTTTTTGAAATGGCCTATGCAATTAGACTATTTTTTTTACGAATAAAAATATTGAATATAAGTAACTATTTGAACATCAAATTAACCAGGTATTTAAATTGAAATACTATACTGTCAAGCTTGTCATCACCTTACCTGAGTACAAATGTTATCTTTTCACGTGTTTTGCAAGATATAGCCGGGAGAAAACTGTATTAACAGATGTAAGCTTTCAGCTCTCCGTTATGTAGTTACAACTAGGCTACCTACATATTGCTCGGTTGTAAATTCTAGTTTTTCTTCGATCTGCTCGAACACCAATAATGTCGATCTCTTCGAAAGGCGAAAGCGAGTCCGAAGATCAGTTTCATCGGAGTCTTCGAAGAAATCTTCGCTCTCTCGGATCCTTCTACTTCGCCTACGTGAAGAAATTCTATCTTAAAAAACATGGTCGCCGTCACCGAATGCAATTGCGCATAACCCCTCCACCATGTTTCCTTGGTCTCCTTAAGCCCCATTACGTCCCTTTAGCGATCGTTCGGCGACCGCTCATGTACACAGCGACGCTGACGAACCATGGGGTAAACACTATTTTGACCTAAGCTTGCTTATTTTTGCTAACGCCTCGCTTAACGATCTTAAGCGGACATGGTGAAACCGGCCTTTAGAAACCTAGCCTGAATTTAGAACTTCCATATGAAGGTAAATTTGTGAAGCCCTCTTCAGTATTCATATTTAATAATAAGGTAATACTAGAGTGGTGCTTCGCAGATCATGGGTGGTTTAAGTAAAGCAATCTTAACTTTTGGTAAATTTGTTAGCAAGTGAATAAATGCAATGCAATTAACTGCACTAAAAATATCTTCCTGTGTATACCGATTTATATCATTCCACTAACTAATTACCACTAACTAGAAATTATACAACTGTTTTATCTTTTTATTTTATTTCATTTTTAATGACACTTCTTCTACGTCAGTAATTCATTTTGACCTAACCAATGAATTCACTAACTACTTTATAGACTTTCACTGATACTTTGCCTATTTCTTGTGAAGCCTTTACTACATATCTAATTAATTACACCTGACGATTTTGGGCAATTGAAAACTCTGAGGTTAGTATTATTCGCGCAGCTTTTCTTGAACAATGGATTGAAGAAATGCGGGAAGAAATAGGGGTGTGAGTTATGAAATCGGCTACTATATTTTATGAAGCAATGCCAGTCTCTGGAGAATGAGTCATGCCTTTGCAACTTTCTCAATCATTTGCGTTTTAACTTCCTAAGGAGTTCAAGGTATCTCCTGCAATGGATCTTCACCTGCTTCAGTCATTTCATTCGATTTTTGAGAGAAAATCACAGACAGAAGTTTTCCTCTTCAACAGAAAATAGTTTCTATTTCGCGCCAGTGAAGATGTGTTTGGAATGTTGTCATCAGTGCTCCCTTCGAGCTGTTGCCTTCAACTGTTGATTGTGCCAGAGAGAGGGAAACAAGGTCATCGTTGAAGAAAAGTTGTGCGAGTAATATTAGTTCTCATGTAGCACTAAATTAAACTTTAATCAAATACAAATCAATTGACGAACACAAAATGTCAGGGCAATAACATAACAATGGAAATGCAGTTAGCAGCACAGTCTTCCGCCACAGTCAGGAATAAATTCCATATCAAATGGCCGAATGATGGATTAGCATGCGATATGTTGTCCGCTAATTCTGGCGAAATAGCAGAGCCTGGCGGGGCCCGCTGACATTTCGAGTTCGATTTAGATTTGATACACGCGCTAAGAGTCAAAAATGAAGGGCGATTGCTTCTTGTTAACGTTGGCACAAACTGCCTTCTGCCTGACAGCCCTGTTTATTCGCCTCTGCACATGCAACGTACACTCACTCGTCGGTCACAATCATCATGTAGAGAGAAGGGAGTTAACTTATTAAATCGTCAGTAGCCGCTCGTTATTCTTATAGTAACGGTTCCTACCCCACCACTTCAAGTCGGCGTGACAACGCAACTGATACCCGACGATACCACTTGAGGAAGATTAACGCCGGAATGATAGCGACGGCGCGAGTGCGCTATGGGCCGGCACGTGCCCAGGCCCTCAGCCTCCGCCGGTCGCTCGCCGCGGGTGCGGGGCTGCGGCTATCAGAAGACATTTGAGCACCACTCAGCGTACGTCCAGAAAGGCTCCTGGCTGGGTTTCAGGTTTGTACAACTGACGCTTCTATTACTTTCCTTTGACTCTCAAAGACATTCACTTACTCTCCGCACCAATTTCTGTGTAGCAGGTGGCCTGTCTCTTGGCATTCTTTGTAATCTCTCTGTTCAGTCTTCTTGCAGACACTGATTGGGTGATCGATTGCTGTTAGCAGTCGGTTTTTGCCGTCCTCGATAGTCTCGTCTACTTTTGCACGAAGAGCCTCAGACCTTAGGATGTGCTCTTGGACTGCTAGACCGAGTCATTCGCTGTGTCTGAAGGGTGCCATCCCAAGTTGAGAGTACGTTTCTTTCCCTTCGACATCTCGGGAATGTTTTGCGTGGAACGGCCTGCCAAGTCTCATTCGGTGTTCCTGTTGGTTCCTCTCTATTGAAACAGCGCCCTTGACCGGGTTCCAGCACCCTCCTCGCGTACCTTAGTCCCCGCAGCCACTTGTATCCCTTGGATGTACTCATGGTCCCAGTGTTCGTTTCCCGATTTGAGTAGGGGCGGATTCCATTTTTTGCCGCCCTGTAGCACAAAATCCCAAATTTGCCGCCTCCCTGGTTTAAAAAATTTAATGTTACATTTCAAATTGTAACGTTTCAGTAACAATTCCTCATTAATTTGAACGTTTTAACTTGAAAAGTACCATTACATTTTGCATATTTTTCATAAATTAAATAATTTTTTTGAATTAGCTAATTTTGGATAGAAACTGTATCTTCATAGCAAGTGACGTTCAACATTTTTAACGTTTCAACACTGAAACGTTTACATTAAAAGGAAACCAAAACATGACAACTAGAATTGCAACGTTTTCTTTCGTCAACGGGCCTTACTTTCACATTCATATACTTCTCAAATCACAAGGTATACTCTAATAAAGTAGACACATAAATAGCATGTATTAAATATTAATATGATACATTTTTATTTACAATTACTGAACGATTAGAATATTACGACGTTGTAACAGTTTTATAATTTTCGATTTACCATTATAAACAAGGAACAGGAAATTTAACTTTTTGGATGGGGTTTTTTATACAGTTGAAATAACGTGTTATTAATTATAGCTAATTTGACTATTGATGTAAAATTTTGTGACGTGCCTTTTGGTAAGCAAATTCATCAATATAGTATAATCTAAAACGCTCAGATAACTGTCTTCGATACACAATAACGCTAAGGAGTTCAGTCGATACTCTTACGATTTTGCAGTTGTTTGTTCGACGCATTCAAGCGGTCTAAAATGAATCCCCTAACCTCGGTCATAATAGTAGTTTCAAGTCGATTTAAAGCAACAATAAGACCTTTAGCTTCTGAACGCGTTGACGGTTTTTGCGTAGAATCATCAGATATAATTTGAAGGGAATCTAAAACATTTTGCCAACGATGTTTTAGAGCCTGACATGCATCATCAATCGAGCTGATCAGCGTAATTGAAAGACTTTTCAAAGAGGATGTACTGGATCCTTCATCTACTAATTTTTTGAAGTGTATCCCACCTTGATGTAGATGCACTAAAGAAATTATATAACTTTTGTAGAAGTAGAAAATAAGTACATGCTTCAGTGCATGATTCAGCTAAACTTAATTTTAACT